TGGTCGTATCTCGAAAAATTCGTAAGGAGGGGCGTTTGTAACTAGAGGTACCACTGTATATGGCAAAACCAGATAGATTGGACCCAGTCACATTTAGGGACACACTAAAACATGATTAACTTAAGCCATATGGATTTCAACTGATTAGGGTCAGAAAGATTAATGTTGGATCCCACCCACTGAAATTAGTGAAACTAAATTACACAGTTAAATGGTTGGCAGTAAACTCTTTAAGGATTATTCTTCTTCTGGATTGTATTCCTTTTTAATATAGAGGGTGTACCAAAAGTTAGGCCCTATAGACAATGCGTTATATGAATTACATTAAATATCTGAAGTGGCTGCCATTCTCTTCTAAACTTACTTGTTTGACATATGACCTTTGAGCACTCCTAAGTACAGTAACATTTTCTCTGGAATAGATTGATTGATTGATTGATTGATTGATTGATTGAGATTGGCCTATGAGGTCTGACTTTTGATAAACCTGTATGTTTTTTTTTAAAATCAAAGTTCCAGTTAGGATAAACAAATCAAATATTTTTTAATTATACTGAATGTTAGGGTAATCTGGGTGGGGTGAGATTTGATAATCAAGTTTTACTGCATCTACAATCTTTGTATTTATGGGAAAATATTTCCTCTTCTCTCTCATTTCTGGTCAGTTCTCATATGTCTAGTGGGATCTTTGTAGGGTTGAAATATTCCTGCAGATACATTTAATGTTAGAAATTGATGTTTTACTTTGTTGCGTGTCAGCCTCCTATTTAACTGTTTAATTTTTAAAATGTTATTTAACAAATCAGGAGCTAGGAGGAGAACTCTAGTCCCCCATCCCCAAGGAAGTCCACAAGGAGAATAAAAAAAAAATCAAAATGGTGACATACAAAGAGAGAGGGTAGGGCTTAAATCATGGCTGCCATCTTGAGTTTTTTGACTTCCCTTGCAGACATCCCTACTAATCCCTATTATATATACTTAAGGATCATGGACATGTAGACAGGCATCTGCTCCCTGATCCATGCAGAATTTGGCCTGCTGTATAAGGAAAACAAAAGAAACACAACCACAACCATGAAGTGGTTACATTGATGGTTGTTGTATTATCTCAGCTACCGGTTATTATTTTGCGTTCCTTGTTGGTTTTTAATCACTGCTAGCTGCCCAGAGTCGCTTTGATGAGATAGGTGGCCATATAAAATAAATAAAATTAAATAAAATTAAAAAATTAAGTCTGAGCTAGGATATGAGCAAAATAACTTCCTGCAAGTTGATTTTAGGAGTGTTTGTTCAAAAGTGTGAATAGAACTTTTTCCTTGTGGAAATCTATTTGCCATCCATCCATCCATCCATCCATCCATCCATCCATCCATCCATCCATCCATCCATCCATAGCTAGTCTGGTGTAGTAGTTAAGGCATTAGGCTAGAATCTGGGAG